CTACATTTTTTAAAAGTAATGTAACAATTGTGCAGTGATTTGTATATATTTTTGCTTATTCAGCCAGACGGAGATGAATACGACATGGAAGTTGACCTGCTGGAGACAGACTGTCACGTGTTGGACCCGCTGCCTCTTGCCAACTGCACAGTCAGGCCCAAAGTACAGACGGTGAGACGCAGAAGCTCTCAGGCTTCAACTCCTGTAATTCAGTCGATATTAGTTCTGATCAACCTACTTTGATTCTTCGTTCTCTTCCAGGCGGTAGAAGGAGACTGTGATGTGGTGCTGAAGAAGGTTGGCGGTGTTCTGAAGGTCATTGCATTCAAGTGCAAATCAGAGGGTAAAGATCACAGATGCTGCTCTCATCCAAATGATTACAAAGAACAAACCACAGCAGTGTCCATACATACTGCATGTGTCAATAACCTGTATGTGACTTTCCTGCTCGACTTGTAGTATCCACAGAGGATTTGTGTTTGGGCTGCCCCAGCCTCCTTCCCCTCAATAACACCGATGCGCTGGATTTTGTCCATGCCTCTCTGACAACCTTCAACAACATGACTGTGAACACGACACACGTTCTTCTCGAGGTTGGAAGGTTGTCATCACAGGTCAGACAGTCAGGATACTTTTTACTAGATGTAACACAGCTGCATGCTTTAACCTGCAGCTGTCAGTTCATCAGTGCTGTTTAATACTCTCAGGTTGTGTCTGGTGGGCCCATCTTCATAACAGAATATGTGGTTGTTGAGGGAAACTGCACCGAGGTTCCCTGCGTGCCTCTCAACGATGCCATGGCTGTGAGTACACAGTAGTAAAAGCACTCAGTTTGTTTTCAGGCCTGTTGATCTGATCTGAGATGGAGAAATGTTCAATCAGGTCACCAGATGTTGAAAATGAACAAAACTGAGAGCTGTGCCTCTCTCTCCAGGCTCGTGGGATTTGTACAGCCAAAGGTACAATCGCCCAGCACAGTGTGGACTGCAAGATGTTCTCCACTCTGGTAAAATACTGCATCTGACTTCTAATATGTTCTGATTCATGAAGACAAAACAACATTCACCATCTAACGTTCACACAGAAAACATTAAGAACTGTTTTT